AAAATCTTATAAGGATATAAAGAAAATATTTTTGTACAGATGTACAATGTGTTTTAAGCTAAATGTTATTACAAAAGGGCCAAAAAGGATTTTTAAAAATTTAAAAGTTTATAAAGTAAAAAAGTTCCAGTAAGCTAAGTTTAATTTATTATTGAAGAAAAAAAGTTTTCTACATTTAGTGTAGCCTAAGTGTACAGTGATGTCCTAGGTCTCCACACTCACTCACCATCGCTCACTGACTCACCCAGGGCAACTTCCAGTCCTGCAAGCTCCATTCACGGCAAGCGACATATACAGGTGTATCATATTTTATCTTTTATACCATATTTTTACTGTACCCTTTCTTTGTTTAACTATGTTTAGGTACACAACTACTTACCCTTGTGTTACAACTGCCTACAGTATTGAGTGCAGTAACATGCTGTACAGGTTTGTAGCCTAGAGCAATAGGCTAGACTGTATAGCTTAGGTGTGTGGTAGGGAATACCATCTATGGTGTTCACACAATGATGAAATCACTTAACGATGCATTTCTTAGAACATACCCCTGTCATTAAACAACACATGACTGTATATGGGAGAATGTGCATAGGTTATATGCAAATACTTTACCATTTTATGTGAGGGATTTGAGCATCCGTGGATGTTGGTATCTGAGGCGGGTCCTAGAACCGATACCCCATAGACACTGAGGGACTACAGTACAATGTTTGAATCCATTCTGCTACATTCAAGTGGCTGTCCAGCCTTAGCCTGACACCCCATGGCTCCCAAGGCTACCTTTTCTTCTCCCAACATCTTGGTTAGAAGGTTCCTCCTTAGATCAAATCAAAGTCTGTCTCTCGTAGTGTCCCATCATATGTACTCATTCCAAACTCTGGGATAGCCTTGCTCACTGCTTAACAGTTGCAAGTAAGTTTATTTACCTTCTCAAACTGTTTCCTTATCTGAAAATAGGGATAATAAGAGTACCAATCCCACAGCGTTGTTTTCAGGATTAAATCATATATGTAAAGCATTTAGCAGAGTAAGCGTTCTCTAAATGTTGGCTGTGGTGTTAATTTTACTGTTATCCTACCAGACAAGTCTTATTTGACATCGCATTATATTTTTTCTAAAACAGGGGTAAAAGACCCTTGGCATTCAGCTATGTTAAATTTAGAGTTCTTTTTGTAAGCAGGTCCAAACCTGGCCTGGCCCTCCTGACTACCAGATAGGCCCCTGGGGACAGCACAGTGGCCTTTAACCTGGTGTAAGTACTTAACAGTCCCACCTTACCCCAAACATTTCCTTGTAAAACTGGTATGTGTCTCCTGCAATGGTGTTTTTATATGCTGGCAAATACAGGGGAAAAGACGTATATTTTGTGCCTAGCATAAACCTGAATCACTCTGCCAGATGGCATCAGAAGTTAGTCACTTAGCTAGTAAGATCAGTCAACAGCTCAACATCTGCATTTCAATTTATTTATAAATTTGGCGATTCCTTGAGATCTCTTTAGATTCCCCCTAATTTTATCTTGTGGCTAGCACTTCACTAATCTATACACTGCTGCCCCTCACCGTCTCCACCAGTCTATTTCAGATACTTGCATCAAGTCACTTATAGCCATTTTTTCTTCTCCAACTCCTATAAAACAGATCCCAGATATGTAGATCCAAATTTTGAAAACATCCAAATTCCCTAATAAGCAAACATATACTGCTGCATATTTATGCAGCATGTCAACTATATAGTGAGAGAGAAGTAATCTATCTATATTAATGTGACAGTAGAAAAAAGATGTGATCAAAACCACTACTTCATTTTACCTTAGAGTTTCAATTGCAGTTCTCATTTCTTCACTGATTAGTAGCTGGGAACTACTGGTCACAACGTACACCTTCCCATTTCGGATTGGACAACCCATTTCTAGTGAACTGTTACCTCGATTCTGTCTTAGGCCTAGAGATTTGTGGAGGGTTCTGTAAATCATTTCTCTACTAAAACCTGCTCTTTATGTGATCCTGAGCTTGTGTCAGCCCAATCCATCATGGGTTGAACCAAAGAATAAGTATTCTACCCTAAAATTACCTTTCTCTCTTAGCAAGAATTTGCACATCCTTGAGAAGCAGAATGGCATTGGGAGAGTATAGACTCTGGAGCCAGACTGCTGAATTTGAATTTAGTTATATGGCCTGTGTGCCTGTTTCCCTATGTATAAACAGAGATAATATTGGTACCAAAACTTATGGGATTGCTGGGTGAATTAAATGAAGTTAACAATTTAAGAAATTTTGATTATCCTTAAAATGGTATTTTATTTAAAAACAAAAATAAAATGTTACATTCAATTCTTAATGTGACTTAGCTCACTTGATCTAATTCCAAAAATGATTTGGTACTTAGCTTGAGCTCCATCTGGTGGTTTTACAACAGCAATTCTCTGGAAAACATCAAATAAAAAGATGACAAATTTCAAAAAGACAGGCTAATTACTTAAAAGATTAAAGGACTACTCTATACTTCTTAATTTATAATCTTTAAGAATAAAGTGATGAAGAAGTGATCATACCCCAGCATTAATTATAAAATGCCAGTTTAAACTTCCTGCCAAAATTTGGAGGTGGGGAGAAAATCTGGCAGTGCAGTTCAGGAACTCAGTGCCTTAGAGGCTACTCACAACACCATGTAAGGCCATGTCTTTTTAGTAGATCCCTTCCCAAAGGCCACATGAAACTCAAGAACATGATTTCCCAAATAAGTTTTATGGTAGTGGCATTTTGCTTTTTGATTTTGTTAACTTTTAAATTAAATCCTGACTGGACAAACTTAAATGGACATCCTAACATTGAGAGGCCCCGGATGAAAGCTCAAAGCTACTACCGTGGCAGTCATCAGGCACAGAAAAAGTGAACAGATCCCTGGCCTCTCACTTCGACTTAAAGAAAATCCAGTTGGAAAATACCTGAAAATGCTGCCAAAATTTAAGTAAGTACCAAGTTATCACTAATGTAGACAATTCCTATGATTAAAAAAAAAAAGGTAAATAATCCAGCTAGTATATTTAGGCTGATATTGTCAGTGGCTTAACTGAAAAATGTATACAATTTTTAATTTTATGAATAAACATCTTATGTATCCACTTTTCCCTAACAAATGCTATTGTTATTCATAACTATACCAAAAGGCAACATAGGCCACGAATGACATCCATTACTCAACTTCCATCTTCTTTCTTAGGTTTTAATAAAATTTATTGTAAGTATTTAAAGTTACCCCCTAACTTTGGAATGAACTATTGAGAAAACTGAGAAAAGCTTATTAAAATAATTTCAAGTTTACTGACATTAAATTTCACAGATTCAAATCTCCTACATTTGAGTCACGTCCCCTTTTTCAGCCTAGCAGTGTGCCC